AGGACACAGAGGTAGGTGAGCAGAAAGGCGAGGAAGAGCACATACTGGAGCCCGGGGGCTGAGGGGAAGCCCACCAGGATGAACGTGCCGACCTTGGTGACGTTCTCCCCCTTCATCCTCCTGTCCTCGGGGTCACAGGCCTGCAAAACATCAGTGCACAAGCAGAAGGGCTGAGGGACAGCGGAGAGGAGAGAAAGCAGAGCTAAACCTTCAGGGTGGGTTTGGGACGAAAGGTGGGACATGTGGCTCCCACGAGCAGTGGGAAAGAGCAATGATACATTCACCTGTCAAGTTTTGTTGTGATTGCTGCTGTTTGGCGGCTGGACGGTACAGGATGGGACCCTAGACCTTGGTGTTATCAGCGCCATGCCCTGACCAACTGGGCTCACCGGCCAGCCTCCCTGTCGAGTTTTAAGGTGGACGCGCCCTGCCTGCTGCCTTCAGAGGTGGTGACGAAGCGGGAACCAGGACGGGACGACGTGCAGGTCGGGTAAGTAGGACGCAGCAGGTCGGGTTGTTTGCTCCGGCCACCTGGAGGAGTGGCCAGGACCCAGGATCAGTTCCTTGGCGTGGTTGTTGGGTTTGGGGCCTTATTTCACAAGTAAGCTTGTGAAAAACTCCTAGCACATCTCACATGGAGAACCATGACGATGACCCGTTTTATTTAATTCCCTCCTGAATTCTGGAGAGGGCAGGGCTGGCATCTGAGCTCTGCTGTGGCTGTCCACCATGGAAAGTTCTCCACGGAGAGGGGAGCTGGGCATGAACCAGGCTCACGCGCAGCACCTCCCCGAGGAAGGAGCTGCAGGGCCTGGAGAAGCTGCTGTGAGTGACTGAGGGTCACTGGTCTGTGCAGCCGCGGCTCCCACCCACCCGTGGCTCCCACCCACCCGTGCTGACATGTGCATGCACACGCACACTGCACACCACACACGTATGCTCACAGCACCTCACACACACATGCAGACACACACACTCACGTGGAGACATCGCTGGGCTGGAGAAGAGTGCAGTGGTGGCTGGGAAGCTAGCTCGAGAGTGGGGAAACTGAGGCCAGCAGAAGGCTCAGACAGCTACTGGAGAAGAGCCCTGGGGAAGGTGGGTCTCGTGGCAGACGCAGAAGGAGCCCCTGAGAGCCACGACAGCAGTTCTTGGAGAGAGTGGCAGCACAGTAGGGGTGGGGACGCGGCCCGCCACCGCGGGTTAAATGAGGGGTGGCCGCAGTGGCCGCGGGGGGCTTTGGCTGAGCTGCCGGGGCCCTGCAGGCTGCACCGTCCCTCGTCTGGGCTCTTGCTGGGGGGGGGGCGAGGGCCGGTCACCAAGGGCGCAGCCCAGCAGGGCGGGCTCCGGAGAGGATGGGACAGCACGAACCCAGCACCGTGGTGGCTGACGTGCCCCGACGTGCCCCGTAAAAATACCTACGGGAACACGCCGGCAAAGGCGAACGCCAACACCCCAAAAAGCAGAAACATAAAAGAAACGAAGCGCCCAGCGTGGCCCGCGGGGAAGCCGCCGTAGCTCCCGGCGGAGGGAGCGAGGGAGCGGAGCGGGAGCCGGACGCCCCGACCCGGACAGGGCCGGTGCCAGGGCAGGGGCGACGCGCAGACCTCGAGAGCCGAGTGCGGCGACACAGAGGGCGCGGCGACACAGAGGGCGCGGCGCGAGGACCCTCCTCTCAGGCCTGGAAAGCTCCGCAAGTCAGGGCAGCGAGTCCCGCGGGAGGCGAGGGCCACCAGGGCTCCCCGCAGACGGCCCGAGGGGACAGAGCGGGGGCTGCAGCCCCTCGCCCAGGGGACGCCCAGGGCTCCCTCCCACTGGCTAGTGTAGACCGCTCAACAGCAGGCTCGGCCTGCTCACAGCCGAGGGGCCCGCCAGGCAGGCTGCAGGTGGCTCTGGCTGCGGCGGGGCAGGACTAAGCAGGAGCCCAGAACGGGTCCCCCAGGACGGGTACTGGCACAGGGAAGCGGTGGTGCTGGGGATGAAGTGGATACTAAGTGCTTACAGGTGGGCACTCAGCCGACACGAGCTGTTACCACGACTAGGGCCCCGGTGACACCCACGCCTGTGCTGGTCTCGAGCAGGGGACCCGAGGGAGGGCGGAACGGTGAAGAGCAACTCGGTGAAGCTTATTCGAGTAGATGCTCCCGTGGGCACTGAGACAATTGCAGCTGAGGCATTTTGATTTGCACCGGACGATATTCGGTGGGCACCTAAGTGCCCAGCAGACATCAACACTCAGGACCTTGCTGGGAACCAGCCCTGGGAATGCACCGATGTGGGAGACCCCAGACTCACGGGCACTGCTGGGTCTCTGTATTCCATACAGGCACAGTCTGGGTCTGGGAAGGAGTCTACCGTCTCCCTGCCAGCCGTCTCTGGCATGGCAGATGGAGTCTTATGAGACTGACTCAGATGTCACAGATTTCTCACATCCTTTTTGATGGTGGCCCCTAAATCCAATTATGAGTGTTCTTATAAGAGACAGAATAGGACACACCGACACACAAGGGAGAAGGCTGTGAAGATGGAGGCAGAGATTGGAGCGATGCAGCCACAAGCCCAGGAACCCCTCAAGCCACCGGAAGCTGGAAGAGATGGGAAGGAGCCTCCCCGGAGGTTCAGGAGGAAGCGTGGCCCTGCCGATGCCTTGATTTTGAACTTCTGGCCTCCAGAACTGTGACCTTTGTTGCAGCAGCCCCAGAACATTGAAACAGGAAGGTGAGAGGTACAGTGAGGAGACAGGTGACCCCAAGTTTTTGGTGCAGGACACTCGAGACTGAGGAGAGGAATAGCAGAGGGTCATGAGGGTTCCGGGTCACCAGGAGTTCTGCATCGGGCAAGGACGGTGTGAGGTGCTGTTGGAGCCTCATGGGGATGTGTGGGGGTTGGCTATGCAAGTCTGGCGTTGAGGAGAGAGTTCTGGGCCGAAAAAGAAATTTCTAGCCAGGGATTGCCCAGGGACAGGCTTGCACTTGGAGACACATCTGTGCTCCTACGGTCAAGGGCCAGCATTCTGTGAGAACCTAGGCTGCCTCCAGGCAACGCAGACATTCCCTGCCTTAAAATCCGGAGTTCAAGATCAACTTCAAAAGCACTGACCGTATACTCCAGGATTTCAGTCAAAATCTGCTGACTACTTTATAGCAAAAGCAGTAACAACCCTTTGCAACTAAAGGGGTTTCAACATCTGATCCTGAATATTGCCTCTCTGGACACCATATGAGGGGTGACTGTCCTCTTTCCAGCTGAATAGCCACAGAGGGCTTTAAAGTCCACAAGGAGGGACTCCGGCGATTCTGGGGACTCGAAGCCAGCAGCCCTCCCTCTGGGTCTCCAGCTTGCATCCCAGGACACAGAGGCCCCGACAGATCTGTGCTGATTATTTAGATAGTGGTGCCTGATCATTAATGAGTCAGCTAGTTAATACTAGGTTGATTAGTTAAATAAAAAAACTGTTTGTTCAAAAATTCAAAGCTCCTTAGAGTATGCTCTCTCTATCACCTTTCAACAATTCCTTTTTTTTCTTTTAAATAGACTTTTTATTTTTGGAATAATTTTAGGCATATAGAGAAGTTGTGGAGAGTTCATAGAGACCCTCAACTCAGGTTCCCCTAGGGTTAACATCTTACCTAACTAGGGTATGTTTGTCAAAAGTAGGGGACTGACATCAGAACATTACTATTAACTCATTTCCAGACTTCATTTGGATTTCATCTTTTTTTCTTCCAATGTCCTCTTTCTGTTCTAGGGTCCCACTTTGCTTTGGCAATGGCTGTATTTTTAATTTGTTTGTACCTCTTGGTTTGTGTACAGAGACCAGGTGCTAGTGGTGAGACCGTAGAGGGGAGTCCCTTCCCCAAATTGGGTGTGGGGACGTGTGTCACAGTGGTGTCAGTCACACATACACATACACCTATAGCTCTGCCACATGCACTCTAAACTCACAGCACAGTGGGTCCATCATCAGCATGGACAGCGTTGGATCCTACCTGGGGGGACTGGAAGCCTCAGTGTGAACAGCTGCAGCTGCCTGCAGGAGGGAAGAGCGGCTTCTCCTTGGGCCCAGTGACTCCCAGGCCAGCTGCAGTGACCAGAGAAGCCTTGAACATGCCCTTGAAATGGATGCCCAAGGCGTTGGGGAGGAGCAGGTGTGGCTTTTCTGCTGGAGTGTGGGGACTCCAGGGTCCAATTACCCCCGCCCTGCTGAGGAAGCTGCCCACACTGCCAATTAGCCAGGTCTTCATGTCTCTGGGGCACCCTAGGCCTGGGGCCCTCGTCCAGGTCCTTCACCACCCACCTCGGTGGCTGTCTCCTGCACTCTCGACTTGAAGAGCTGCTGTCCCTGGATCACCCCTCCTTGGTCATGAGCTCAGCGAGGGTCAGGCAAGGGCCTTTGCTGAGAAACTGAACCTCTATGTGCTGGAGGGTTCAGAGAGGATGGAGAGTGGGCTGTTTATGAGGCCGAAGAGTTGAGGTCAAAGCCAGAGTGTGGGGGTGGCTGTGCTGGGCCCTGGTAGGCCAGGCAGCATCAGAGGGACATGGCAGAATGTAAGTTAGGCCCTGACCCAGCTTGGAGCCTCCGTAGCTCCCACACAGTCATAGGGAAGGATGTGCCAGGGACCCCACCATCTGACCTCAGTTTCCTCTCTGGTCCCAGCTCTTCTGACCTCCCCTGTCTCTCCATTCTAATTCCATCCAGCCCCCCACCCACCAGAGGTGGCTCAAACTGGCTGGCTCCCTCCACCTCCCTTGGGGTTTTTGGACTCACTGTTCTCTGGAATGTTCTTCCTCCACACGTCAGCCCACCTCTTTCCCTTGCTTCCTTCAGTCCCCACGACCACCCAGGACACGCACATTTTCTTCCCTGCTCGATGAGTCCATTTCCTGCCTCTGCCAGCTTCTGGCAGCTCCTGGCTTCCCTGGTTTGCGGCCTTGTCACTCCAATCTCCGCCCCCACGGCCATGGCACCTCCTCCTCTGCTGTGTGACAAATCTCCTCTGTGTGTCTCTTGTAAGGACACTTGTCCTTGTGTTTAGGGTCCACCCAGACAGTCCACACTGATCTTCTCATCTCCAGATTCTTAACTTAATTATATCCGCAAAGACTATTTTCCCAAAGAAGGTCACATTCACAGATTTCATAGATTGAACGTGGAGATATATTTTGGGGACCATTTTACGGCCAACTATGGCTGTTGTTTTTTTCTTAGCAGTGTGTATCCCTGCAGACCACTCTGAGTATTTTACTTATTTTGGGTATTTTTCTCTTGCCTAGGAACATGCAAACTGCATGAGGGCTGGGATTTTTGTCTGTTTTGTTCATCATTGTAGCTCGAGTGCCTAGAGTAGTAGTGTCTGGCACCTAGCAGGTGCCTGGTTGAACAAATGAGTGAATGAATGAATGAACGTATGAATAACTCGATTAGTTGTGAGCAGAGAAGGGTGTGGGCAGAGAAGAGGAAGGAGTTTTCCAGGGGATCCAACTATTTCCTGGCCCAGTTGTGTGGGGAGGAGGACGGGCTCTGAGGAGCCCTGCGGTGGTCCCCAGGAGCCCTGTGGTGGTCCCCAGGCATCTGTATACTAAGCCGTGAGCCTGCACCTGGGTCCCTAAGTGGGTGGAACTGCACAGGATGGTCTTACCCAGTCC